AAATCTGTAATAGCAAATTTTTAAAACAATTTAAGCATCCACCAATAGTGAGTAAACTATAGTATATTCATATAATGGCTCAGCCTTAAAAAAAATAATAAATATAAGGAAACTTCTTCTGCACTCAAATGAAAAGATATCCAAGACTTATGATTAAATTAAAAGGTGAACAGTGTACATAGTATGATGCTTATATGAAAATGAAAGGATATCTACCTACTCATATATACATATATTTTATTTTATATTTAAAACTTTTATCTTTACACTGAAGTATAATATGCATTCAGAAAAGTACATATAAGTCTAGTCTCAAAGAATTTTCATAAAAACACACCCATGTAGCTGGTACCTAGAATCTAGGTTCTACATCAAGAAACAGAATATAATTAGTACCCTAGAAGTTCCATCATGTCCCATTCCTTCTAGCCACTAGGTCCCCTCTACAAGAGTAAGCAGTGTCTTCATTTTGGAAAGCATAGATTAACTTATTTTATACACTTTGTATTAATGGACGCATCTCTTCTGTGCCTGGCTTTTTTCATCTGACAGTATTATTGAAGATTGGTTAATTTCATTGACTTTAGTATTCCATTGTGTAAATAAATCACAGCTTACCCATTTTTCTGTTTATGGGTCACACATATGAAAGGGCTTCCAATAGTTCATGGGAAAATTCCATTATCTTTTCAGTTTCCTGCAAACTTTTTAAGTCCCCTTGTAATGATAGAGGCTATTATCATTTCGAATGTTAAAACCATTCTAGTACATGCATACATATGTCCACATAGTTACAAAGGGGATTCCTGACTCATATACCAAATGCCATGGAGTTGATGTGGATTCATAGCAAATTTACAGGTCAGAATAGAATTGCTCTATAAGGTTTCCAAAGGAGCTCTAGTTGCGTAGTGGTTACGAATCGGGCTGTGAACCTCAAGGTCAGCAGTTTGAAACTACCAGCTGTTCTGCGAGAGAAAGATGAGGCTTTCTGCTCCCGCCCGTAAAGATTTACAGCCTCAGAAACCCTGGCTGTAAATCCTTGACTCCACGGCACATGACAATAACAACATAAGGTTTCCAAGGTATTAAATCTTTACAGAAGCAGACAGCCTCGTCTTTCTCCTGTGGAGTGATTAGTGGGTTTGAACTATCAACCTTGTGGCTATTGTTGCTGTTGTTGTTATTTGCCATGGAGTCGGTTCCGACTCATAGCGACCCTGTACAGGGTTTCCGTGCCTATGAATCTTTATAGGAGCAGAAAGCCTCATCTTTCTCTCATGAAACAGCTGGTAGTTTCAAACTGGTGACCTTGTGGTTTGCAGCCCAATTCGTACCCACTACGCTACCAGAGCTCCTTTGGATTCCAACCCACAGTGATCCTGTATAGGGTTTCCAAGAAGCAGCTGGTGAGTCTGAACTACAGACCTTGCAAACAACTTTGCAGTTTGACGCATTAGCTCACAGCACCACACCAGCAGCCCAATATTTAACCCACTGCACCAGCAGGGCGCCTTACTAGATTACAGGGACTACATAAATTCAACTTCAGTACTACACTTTCACCTATATGCCACCACAGAATGATTCAAGGAAATGCAGTTTCCTTTCTTGTGTAGTTTTTACTTTTCAGGGAATAATAATTTTCTCATTTTTTCTTTGTTTATTTAAGTTCTATATGCAGTTTTTGCACATATTTCATGAAATCTATAAAATACCAATTAATATAATTTCCCAAATACTCAAATTAGATAACCTCTAGTCTTTGAAGTCCTGGTGTGGCGCTGTGGGTTAATGAACTGGACTGCAATGTTGGTTTGAACCACAAGGTCAGTGGTTCAAGCTCAACAGCCACTCCTCAGAAACCCTATACAAGGTCACTTGTATAGGAATCGACTCGATAGCACTTAACAACAACAACAAAGTCTTTAGAGAAGGACATCATGCTTGGAAAAGTGGAAGGTCAGCAAAAAAAGAGGAACCTCCCCCCACCCCACACCCCACTCAACAAGCTGGATTGACACAGTGCCAGCAGCAGTGGGATCAAGCATAACAATTATGAGGATGGCACAGGACTGGGCAGTGTTTAGTTCTGTTGTGCATAGGGTGGCAATGAGTTGGAACCAACTAGACTGTCCCTAACAGCAAAAATCATAAAATACTTTGCTACGGCCTTTTCTCTTGAAGTCTATCATCCTCCTGTTTCAGTGAAAATGGGTTGTTTCCCATTTTATCACACATCTCCCATTCTGTGAGTTCACTTCTCTATTCACCTGATTCTAGTTCATAGATTCCATGTCCTTTTCTTTTCTTTTTGTAAAATTTATATCCATGTTTTGTTGGGACATTTCTTTTCGTAACTTTCTAAAATAAGATTGATACAAAGCAAATGTTACCCTTATATCTGGTGGATAGTTTAGCTGACTATAGAATTTAAGATTGGAAGTTAATTTCTTTCAGAGTTCTGAAGAAATTTCACTTGTTTTCTAACTTACAAATATTACTCTTAATAAATCCAAAGCCATGTTAATTGCCATTCTTTTATTCTTGTTTCTTTTCTCTAAATACTTTTAGACTTCTCTTTGTTCTTAATGCTCTAACCTTCCTTACTTTGTTGTTGTTGGTAAGTGCCATTGAGTTGGTTCCGACCCATAGCGACCCTGAACAGGGTTTCCGAAGCTGTAAATCTTTACCGGAGCAGAAAGCCTCATCTTTCTCCTGCGGAGCAGCTGGTAGTTTCGAACTGCTGACCTTGTGGTTACTAGTGTTCTTTATATGCTTTGGTGGAGATGGCTGTGTATCATTGAGTCAGTTCTGATTCCTAGTAACCCTGTGTGTTCTGACTTAAAGTGACCCTGCATTTACCACTCCTGCAGAACAGCTTGGTGGAGTCTAACTGCTGACTTTGCGGTTGGAAGTCCAATGCTTACCCAATATGCCACCAGGGTTCTTGTTCTTGTTGTTAGGTGCTATTGAGTAGGTACCGACTCATAGTGTACCAACTCATAGTGACCCTATGCACAACAGAACGAAATACTGCCCAATCCTAGGCCAACCTCACAATTATTGCCACATTTGAGCCCATTGCTGCCTCTTTGCCAATCCATCTCCTTAGGGGTCTTCCTCTTTTTCTCTGAACTTCCACCTTACCAAACATGATATCCTTCTCTCCTGACAATATGTTCTAAGTATGAGAGACAAAGTTTGGTTTCTTAATATGCTTTCATTGTGTTCTTTAATGTAGGTCTCTTTTCAATTCAATTAGGTACCTGGATGGGTCCTTTCAATATGGAGATACTTGTCATTCAGTCCTGACAAAATTTTAGTTATTATTTTGATAATCCCCTCCTTGCTGATTTTGTTGTTGTTGTTTTCTTTTTTTGAAACTCTTAGTTTGTGGGATGACTGCATGGATAGATCATTGTGAAAGTATCTGAGTACTTTCAAAAACATAAAGGTTTATTGAAGAATAAAGCAGAGCATATCAGACCATATCTTTAAAGCTAGGCATTGTATTATAAATCACCAAAACTTTAAACACATGATTTCATTACAATTTCCCTGATGTGTACAAATACAGGAAGTACTAGTTCTATGTAGGCAAAAATCCTTTATTCAAGTCAGGCATTCCTTATTACTGCATTGAAATTCATTTGGTTTTTATTTACGTAGAATTGTAAATAATATATGTACTTTCTACTTTCACCTAAGTGGAAAGGCAATTTTTGTTTGTTTGCTTGTTTCTGTTTATAAGTGAAAAAATGAAAGATGTCTGAGGTCTCTTTTGGTTGGCTTTAAACATTGACCGCAATTATCTTATCTGTGTAAAAAGGAAATATATGCATTCTTACTTGGCGTAAAGAAGCCGCCATAGCGTAGCGGCTTATGAGCTAAGCTGCTAACTACAAGATCAGTAAGTTTGAATCTACCAGGCGCTTCCTGGGAGAAAACTGAGGCTTTCTGCTCCCGTGAAGGTTTACAGCCTCGGAAACCCTATGAGTCATGAGTTAGAACCCTCATACACCCACCATAACCACAACCACCACCACCTGGAGTTAGATGGACTTTCTCAATGTTTTGTTTAATCTCCCTACGTAATTATGGATTTAGGAGGAGAGGGGGAAGAAAATCAAATAACTAGTAAAGAAGCAAGTACCAAGAGCTAAACACAGCTGAGTGTATTCCACTCTGAGGAACTTTATCATTTACTCCTCATTTCCAAAGTGGCAGCGAACGGAGGAAGAAAGGAGTGCGGGCAGGTAGATGGATTTATCCACTGCGTGTCTCACTGGGCTAGGTTTGTGTAGAACCCTTGGTACTGCGCAAGCAGAGTAGGAGTCCGGATCCCAGTCCCCACCCCAATGGCTCCTGAGTTTAGCAACTTCCCGTCCCCGGCTACACGCGGCTGAGAGGGAGTATCCAGCTGAGTAGGAGGGCCTGCTGCTGAACAATCGGAAACCGGCTAACCGACAGTGGACAGGGACTTTCCCAAAAGGCCAGCATTTCCAAACTCGGAGCCAGGAGAAGACAAAAGGAGTGCCCTTGGCTCCCTACAGCCCCACAAGTGTCGGACCGACACCGGCGGAGGAGCGCGGACCTCGGGCTGACACCCGAACCGGCCTACTGTCCCCTGTGCTCGCCGCAGAAGTTGCGGGACAAGTTTGGGGGAAGGAGGAGCTTGGCGGCTGCTTTCGCCGGCGGGGCACGCCAGGGAGGGCCCAGTCCCGGAGAGCAAGCTCCTCCTCGCCGCGACCCCGCAGATTGACACCGCTCTGGAGAAGAGTCTGCCGCGGTGCTGGGAAAGGCAGCCAGCAGTGCAGGGTGCGGCGGTGGCTGGCGGAGACCGGCCGGAAATGGGCAGCCTCGTGACCTAGTGTCTTCGAGCAGAAGGGCCTCGCTGCCCCGCCGCCCGGGCGGCCCGAGCGCTGCCTAGGAGCCGCGGGAGTGGAGGGCACGCCCGGAACGTGCCGCTGGCCTGAGCGCTTGTGCCGTCCGCAGCCATGAACGGGGAAGCCATCTGCAGCGCACTGCCCACCATTCCCTACCACAAGCTCGCTGACCTGCGCTACCTGAGCCGCGGCGCCTCGGGCACCGTGTCGTCGGCCCGCCACTCCGACTGGCGCGTCCAGGTGGCCGTGAAACACTTGCACATCCACACCCCGCTGCTCGACAGGTAAGGCCCCTAATCGACTGAACCCCCTCGCCGCCGACATCCATCCCAGACAGGCGGACGCTAGAGCTACCCAAAAGGTAGGGTCGTCTCTTCCCTCTGGCCTTCAGTGCGAGTCCTTCAAAAGTTAGGGTTGTCATGGTGGGAAGAACCAACTGCTCAGGAGATGCGCACTCGGAATCCTTGAATTACCTCCCCTCCATTGCAGTGTCTCTGCGTCCCGCCTCTCCTCCTAGGCTTCCTCGGACACCAGACACTTGCCATTCACAACGCAACTCTATTTGCCCTAGTTATTGAAATGATGTATAGTGGGTGTGTAGTTTGCTTTGTTTTTCTCTTGTTTTGAAAACTGGTTCTAAGGCTACGCCGTCCAATGTTGTTAAGTGCGGTCGAATCCGTTTCAACCCATTGGGACCGTGTAAGAAACTCATAGGTTTCTTAGAGCAACTGGTAGGCTTGAACTGTTGACCTTGTGGTTCGCAGTCCAATAGGTTAGTTATTATTGATCACTTGGTTTGTGGCTGTCTTAAGTGAAATGTCCTGTCCATGTGAAATAAACACAGAATTTCGAAAAGTTAGTACTAAGGGAAGAATTTAAACTAATTCGTTAATGTTTTTCTATCAATTATACATTGTTACAATGTTGATATGTTTAGTTAAATAAAAGATGTTATCAAAAATGTTTGTGTGTGTGTTTAATATGACTACTGAAAAAATTGAAAATGCATACAGGCTCTTATAATTGGACAGCTCTGCTCTAGAGTTTGAGATGACTTGTTTTGGGCTTCTTGTTTCTGGTTCATTATTTGTTCTTATTAAACTTTAAGTTGTTGTTAAGTGCCATCAAGGCAAATAATTCCTACCCATGTTGTTGTTAGGTGCCTTCTAATTGGTTCCGACCCATCGTGACCTTGTACAGGGTTTCCGAGGCTGTAAATCTTTATGGGAGCAGAAAGCCGGCTGGTAGTTTCGAACTGTTGACCTTAAGATTCGCAGCCCGAGTTGTAACCACTACACTACCAGAGCTCCTTACCCATAGCGACCCTATATAGGGTTTTCAAGGATTGAATGGTGAGTTTGCAGTCAAGTGCTTATGCTACAGTGCCACACCAGGACTTTTAAGTATCACTCTCAAAATCAGCAGTTTCTCATCTTACTCTCCCCCAGGAAGATTGTCCTTAGAGAAAATGTGTATTATTTTGCAGTAGCAATTAACTGAATCAAAAGACTGTTAAATGACCAAAATTGTGAATGCTTCTCACATTCTGCAACAATTAGTGTGTGGAGTCTAAGTTTTAAAGAAAGCTAGCATTAGTTTCTCTTTCCAGAGAAATCTGTGACTCTATTAGTCAGTGAGTCTAGTCACAGGTCTAGTGTTCTGTCCATCCCAGAGGGCTCTAAGTAGGTCCAGAGTACAGTTCTCAGTGATTTAACATAACTGCAACTTTCTCTTCTCCCCCTATTAATGTGGAAAATACATGCTGCTAGGAGCCCTCAGGATAAACACTAGGCTGCCAACAACAAGGTCAGCAGTTAAAATCCACTAGCTACTCCTCAAGAGAAACAGGAGGCTTTCTGGTCCCATAAAGATTTACAGCCTTTGGAACCCTATACAGGGTTGATGAGTCAGTATCCACCCAGTGACAGTGATTAAGTGAGTGAGTGAGTGAGAGAGAGAGAGAGATGCCTGACTGACCAGAGGCTCTTAGTATCCAGTATCAAATATGTTCCTCAACATCAGTCTTGCCAGACTTTCATATATGCCTGTGACTTTTCTTTGTTGTCTCTCTCCACCAGACTTGGATGAACTAGTTCTCACAGCTGTCTTGAGACACTTCTAGAGATTGATCCATATCCAGAGATATACAGGGTGTGGTGTCTGTTTACATTAAGCCTTGAATTCTTTGGTACAAGTGCTGGGCAAGTGTATTATGTAGTCAGCTTAGAAGGGTGGTGGTTGGTGAAGAGGGTGGATGTGTTGTTCTAGAACCAACTATGCAAATATTATATGGAAATCTAGCACTGATGGATCACTTCAATATTTTGAAGCAAATCAATCTTTTTGGGTTTTTTTGGGGGGACACTGCTTCTCAAGACTGTGCCATTTGAAGGGCCAAAGGGTAAAGAAACAGTTCATTCCTTATATTCACAACACAATTTTCAGTCTAAATTTTTTTAACCATACTGGGTAGAAAATTAATTCTGTCTTCTAAAATGCCATAAGGAGCATTGGTGGCACAATGGTTAAGCACTTGGCTCCTAACTAAATGGTGGTTGGCTCAAACCCACCTAGTGGAGAGAGAAAGACCTGGCCACCTGCTTCTGTAGTCACAGTCAGGAAAAACCCTATGGGGCAGTTCTTCTCTGTCACATGGGGTCCCTGTGAGTCAGAATCCACTCAGTGGCACCCCACAAGAAGAATAAACCATTAAAACTAGTGAAACACACTTTTAGTCCACTCTGGCAATAAAGTATCATTTTCTTTTCTCCCACTTGTTACCTATAAGATCATATCAATATTACTTATGTAATCTGGGCTCAGGGCTGGGCTAGGCAACTGTGTGTCCATTTCCTCACTTATAAAGTAGGACTAATAAATACCTGTGCTTCTTGGACGCTGGCATGGATAATGCTTGCATTGTTCTTTGTGATCACCTGAAAAAATTCTATTAATGTTACATGTTCTTATTTTGGTAGTGAGTCATTCTCCATAACCTGCCTTCTACCCAGTGAGTAGACCGTCAACAATCTTCCCAAACACCATGAGTATTAAACCAGTTGCTGTCATGTGTATTCTTGTACATTCTCATGTGGGTCAGAATCAGGACTTCAAATCAGTTCAAAATTATTTAGTCATGGCCAAGGAAATAAAGGCAGCTTCCATGTTGCATAGCAACCAAATACCATGAATGGTGATTTTTGAACCAAGAAGGTTACAGACAGTGGTAACCAGCTCAAAGAAGGCAGCCGACCATACAACTTTGAATGTGTACTGGCCACCAACTTTGGGCAGGGCATTGCTGCCTGTTTACTACTCAGATCTGAATCCACCATGCAAGAGTTTCGTTGCTTTGAAACACATACATACACTGCCTGTGTTTCCACTGGCCCTGATAAAAGCCTTTTAAACGGATTCAAAGCCCTAATCAAGAGTAGAATTTTGCTCCATCGAGTTGTCAGTGGCTAATTTAAAAAAAATAAATCTATAGACCTTTCATCCGAGGCATCTCTGGGTTGACTCAAACCTCCAACTTTCTGATTAGCAGCCCAGCATATTAACCATTAGTACCACCACAAGCTCTACATTATGAGGACATGAATCAAATTGTTTGTTTAAATACCCTCTAAAAAGTAAAACTATTTTTGACTAAAATTTTCAAATTAGTTTTGATATGTCTCTAGAAGCTCAATTTATAATTTTTATGTAACTGTTTGTAACATCAGTAGTGTTAAAGTGCCGTTAAGTCTGTTCCAACACATAGGGACTCTAGATAGGGTTTCCAAAGAGCTGCTGTTGGGTTTGAACTGCCTACCTTGTGGTTCACAGTCCAGTGCTAATCCTACAGCTGCATACCAGGAGTCCATAACATTCATAGTAGTGTAAAGGTTTGTTTTTAAAAAAATATTTTGGCTTTCTCTGTTTTCTCAATCTAGAATTTTTTTTTTTTGGCTGGATAGTGTACTTTATTGATGGTACATGACAAGTGTAAAGGTATGTTTTTAAAAAATATTTTGGCTTTCTCTGTTTTCTCAATCTAGAATTTTTTTTTTTGGCTGGATAGTGTACTTTATTAATGGTACATGACAAGACTAGGCTTTCTAAGCCCCTCCCCTTCTCCAGGGGGTCTGGATGGAAACTGAGGATGGGAGTTTCTCAGTGTGTAGGGGGACTAGAGTAGGGGTAAGGACTCCCAGCAGCTGAGGGCCTCTCTCTTCCTCTAGTGCTGTTGCTCGGCCTGGTGGTCCAGGGGGCTCTTATTCTTTGGAGGCCATGTGGACCACAAGATCCACCATCATTGTCATACCAGGAAATGAGCTTGACAAAGTGGTCGTTGAGGGCAATGCCAGCCCCAGCATCAAAGGTAGAAGAATGGGTGTCACTGTTAAAGTCACAGGAGACGACCTGGTCTTCAGTGTAACCTAGGATGCCTTTTAGGGGTCCATCTGATGCCTGCTTCACCACCTTCTTGATGTCATCATATTTGGAAGCTTTCTCCAGGTGGCAGGTCAGATCCATGACAGACACATTAGGAGTAGGGACACGGAAGGCCATGCCAGTGAGTTTCCCATTCAGTTCAGGGATGACCTTGCCTACAGCCTTAGGAGCACCGGTAGATGCAGGGATGATGTTCTGGGCAGCCCCACGGCCATCACGCTACAGTTTCCTAGAGGGACCATCCACAGTCTTCTGGGTGGCAGTGATGGCATGGACTGTGGTCATGAGTCCCTCCACGATGCCAAAATTGTCATGGATGACCTTGGCCGGGGGGGCCAAACAGCTGGTGGTGCAGAAGGCATTGCTGCCAATCTTGAGGGAATTGTCATACTTCTCATGGTTCACGCCCATCACAAACATGGGGGCATCAGCAGAAGGGGCAGAGATGATTACCCTTTTGGCACCACCCTTCAAGTGAGCCCCAGCCTTTTCCAAGGTTGCGAAGACACCGGTGGACTCTACAACATATTCAGCACCAGCATCACCCCACTTGATGTTGGCGGGATCTCGCTCCTGGAAGATAGAGATGGGCTTCCTGTTGATGATAAGTTTCCCGTTCTCAGTCTTGACAGTGCCACTGAACTTGCCATGGGTGGAATGATACTGGAACATATATACCATGTAGTTGAGGTCAATGAAGGGGTCGTTGATGGCAACAACCTCCACTTTGCCAGAGTTAACAGCAGCCCTGGTGACCAGGTGCCCAATACGGCCAAATCCAATGACTCCAACCTTCACCATACTGTCTCAGGGATGAGGCTGGTACTGCAAGAGAAGCTGCGGCTGC